GTGATAGGCGAATTTGAATTTCTTGAGATCTGACATTCACAATCTGGTTCAGTCTTTTAAAAATTTGCTTCTGGTCGTAGTTCAAGGCGGTCTCCTACGTAAAGCTAGATTCTGCAGTTTCATTCCTATTCTGCAGTTTCTGGTCACCTTCTTTCGGTTCAAGCCTGTCCAATCACCTCCTGATATATGTTTCCGAAAAGAGTGGCTTCACGTCTCTGGGTTGAAATTTGTTTTTCTTTTGTTTTTAGGGTCTCACTCTACCGGCACTGGCAGCTGTGCAAGTCAAAGTTCGTACCCTAGTACTGAATAAGAGCATCACAGGTAGAAATTGTCATTTGTGAACTTATCACTGCTTTGATGGAGCACATATTCATAAATTGATTGATTTCATTTGAGGAGATTTTGGATTCTCTATTCGTCGTGTACAGTTTCCTTCTAACAGACACGGTGGTTTGAGAACAATAGTATTTGCTGAACCCTCCAATGTACGAACAGGACCGCCACGCCCGGATGATTTGAAGTTTGTTCATTTGAAATCTTTCTAGTTTTCTTTCTCACACATAGGTTTTTTACGTTTTCTGATTCAAAAATTCCAGTGTTCTGGTGAATTATGTTTTTTTTTTCATTATCCTAAGCCAGGAGCCAGGACTTCGCTCAAGAGATTCTGTGTTTTTTCGCACAGAATTGCTTTGGTTGTAGTGAGAGAGTTTGTGCTTTAAAGCAGAAATTTAGCTTGTAAAGGAATACAAAAAGAAGACATAATTTTCTCCAAGCTCTCTTTCGTAGAAATTTATATTGAATTTTTCTTGATGAGATGTCATGCCACATTTTTGTGAGTTTCATTTATAAGCGTAAATGCCAGGAACGGACTATTACCTGGAGATCAACTGATAAAAGTCGACGGTAAAAGTGTCGATGCTATGTCTCGTGATGAGTTACATGACGCAGTTCGCAGTGCTGGAGAACAAATAGGTATTCTTTGTCCTATTTTCTTTCTTATTATGGCTAACGATTAATTTTTGTTGATAACTTACATAGAAGCCGTACGGCGTCTTACTTTCTGTGGTTCCATTTTCTTTTACAGTATCATGACTTCCCATAGTATTTCTCATTGTCATTTCTCCTTTGTAGAACTTCAGTATAATTTTGTGGCGCGATAGTCAAGCGTGACGCTGTGTCATGTTCCACGTTTTAGTTCTGGAGGTGAAGTCCGTTCCGATTGGCGGAAAATTTCGTGATCGAAACACCGTCAGATGCAGAGAGTGGACGAGGATCAAGTTCCAATGCTGACACATCAATACGAATTGTAATAGTAGAACCTCTCTCTTTGCTAGGATTCAAGCCAGGGAAGCCCGCAACAGAGGTATATGCGATTTGCTCTCGAATAGTGACGCTCAAAACTCACGGCCGGTAGCGATAACTAAACTTATTGACCTCAGAAAAAATGACTGCTATCCTTCAATAGTGGGAAATTTCTGATTCACAATTCCCATAATCAGCTGTTGCAACTGTTGCAGGTAGGACATTCCTGAAGAGCAACGATACTGGCTTATTCACAAAGGCGGTTACACTGTTGTACGGCTTCTCGAGCTCCTTCCAGATGGGAGAGCCCTTATTCGAGTTGCAGGTCGTGAGATGACCGTTGATTCAACTGATATTGACAGAATGAATCCTACAAATCTGGATCGAGTCGGCGATGCGGCTGCACTTTGTTATCTAAATGAGACCAGCGCTGTACATTTACTGCGGCAGCGGTAAGCTCCAGTTTCTAATTTCTGTAGCAGAAGTCGATTACGGAAGGATTACAGATTTGGTTGCAATCTCATGTACACGAATGCTGGCCTTATCAGTCTAGTTTGTCTCACCTCCATTGAGGAGGGTGCAGTTGGTCAAGATCGACTTGTTTCTCTGTTCAAAGGATGTCGACGAGGACAAATGCCTGCCCACATTTACGCTACTGCGCAACAGGTATATAGGTGAGTCCCATTTTGTTGGTGTGTGTACAATTTGTGGTCGGTCATTAAAGATATTAGGTAATTGTTCACACAAACGCATAGATTTTTAGGAATCTCCAAATGACGGGTCATAATCAGTGCATTGTGCTGACGGGCAACAGCGGTAGCGGAAAGACCACTCAGCTTCGTAACTTTGTACATTATCTTGCGGAAGTAGCTGGTTGGACGAGGAGTTTGCCATGTAAGCGCTTCTACTGCTCACCTTTTCCATTTTTTTTACATTTTTCGCACATTTTGACATCTTCCATGCACTTGAATTTTCTTATGTCATCATAGTGTTCTCAATGCGTATTCTTTTTCACTGTGATAGCCGAATACATAGCGTCCAGTTGGTACACGTTTATATATTTTTAGGTGAGAGAGGGTGGGGGCGGATGGGATAGGGGAGGGTGCGCTGCAGATTGATCGCTGTATAAAATGAAACTAATAAAATGGAACTAATGGAAATGAACTTCTTGTAGGGAGAAGTACCGTATCGTTTCAATCCGTAGGAAAAATCTGGCTCCAATCTAGGGTATTTGACACTGAAGGTTTGCTATTTTCCGAACATAGTGTAGCTGACTTCATAAGAAGTTGGGCAAGGTCAGAAGCTCTGGAAGCGCATTTTTTGGATTAGGCATTGTCCTGGCTTTCGCCACAAATGGAAACAAGTTAGAGATATTTGAATTTCATGAAAATAGCAGTTTTTCAGCTAGTTTTGCTTTAGTTGTTCTGCGGTCGAATAAAATATTTGGATGAGCCTGTTGAACCCTCCTTTTATGTTTGACAATAGTTGAATCCATTTGCTCATTTCGGTGAAGCCTGTATTCGCTACGCACAGAAAAGACGAACTTACACCGCTGAAAAATTCAAGCTCTACTCCATGATCTTCATTT